GGCCTCCTGTGAGGTGACTGTCTCCTTTGCTTCTTCCAGGACTCTGCAAGGTTCTCCAGTTCTGGACCCATTTTTGTATTAGTTTCTTGGCCCAGGGTTTCCAAACCCGGCAGGTAACTGGAAATCAAGCCCCCCACCATAGCTAGGGCTGATGTTTAGAGTATGACTCTAATTAGAGTTTTCACCAATGGCCCAGGATGGACAGTTCCTTGGCTGATGGGCTTGAGGGTAGCCTTTTCCTAGTTGTCATTCAGGGACCAAAAAGGAACCTCAGGTTCCTGGATTTATGAAAGGGGTCTAATCCCAGCTCCCTACTGTGCACAGAGGCCTGGGAGCTTGAAGCCCCCCACCCCCAACCCCACCCCCAGCTGCACAGATGCTCAGCCTGCCAGCCTCAAGCTCAGGCTCACTGGCATGGCCATCTCACATGGCACCTGCGCTCGTTTTGTTTGCAGTTGTGCTCATGTGCCTTCTTCTACACTAAGTTCCTTGAGGACAGGGCCTTGGTTTCTGGACCCCATCACAATGCTTCCTACGGGGTCTTGCACATTTGATGTTCTCTTGTTGGACTCAACTATACTATAATCTCCTCAATGTTCACAGACATAAGGTTTGAGTTAGGGCCTTCTTGACCCCGGGAATCATTTCTCATTATTGGGGATGTGTAGAGGTGCCCCTTTTTATTTTCTGCTCTTTAAAATCAAGAGAATAAGGCAGGCCTCCTGGAGGAAGCACTCACTTCCCGCATCGCCATCACGTCTCACGTTCACTACCTCACCTTCACCTTCGCTTGCCAAGGCAGAAAACACAGCAGGAAGATTTGTTGAACATTTATTCCTAGGGTTTTTTTTTTTTTAATTTCCTCTGAAATGAATATGAACACACGACGGTCTTTACACTCTGCAGGAGCTAATCCCTCACTGGAAGCTTGGGGAGCCTCATTCCTTCTTGTGTATGAATATGTCCACACAGGGTCCCCTTCAAGCTTTTCTGAAAGGACCACAGTGGACGGAGTGGCTCTGTCTTTGGGGCTCTATTACATTTATAACTATGTTTTTTTTAAAAAGAAAATAACATAGAAATTGCTTCCAGAACCCAAATGCCTGTGTGAAATGCCGCCTTCTCTTTGAGGCCCGGCGGCTTTCAATGGCTTGTCCGTGCCTGTGCCCCACTGCTGCACGGCCGCCGCTGGAGGGGCAGCTACTGAAGCCCGAACCCACCACTATGCCCGATAGGAAATGTGTACTTTCGATGTTGAAAGAACCATGGGAAGGAAATGATACTTTTATAAATAAAAAGTGCTTACTAAGTATTATTCACTAAGTAAAATCATATTTTCCCTGAACATCTTGGACCATGTATCAATTTTGTTAACAAAGAAAAATCTGGCTGAAACACTTAATCCCTTCTAAGAATGGCAAGAAAATCCTCAGTATTTGTCCCCTGAGCATTCACTATTTCCTGTGTACTTAGTACTATAAGGAGGCTCTGTGGAGGTGTTTTGTCAAATAAGTCTTTAATCTCAAGAAGCTTCTTTTTAAGGTACCTAATTTATTTTGTGGCTAGCGCAGAAGGATAAAAATTGTCTTCGAATTGCTAAACCAGTTGAGATGATTTAAATTACTCAGGGCTGCAGAAGGCTATCTATTAAATGATCTGTGCATGCCCTTTCACACATTTGTGCTTTTAAATCACAGAATATTTTCCCGGTACAGAATAAGGAACCCTCATTAGAAGGCATTCCCAGGTCTCTGAGTGAATCATGGGGAATGTGAATCTATCTCAGAGTTAAAGTCATATATCTCCCGCACACTGTCTGATGAAACTTTCTGCAGGTTTCTTAGGTAGCCAATCACATGACAGATATATGACTCTGAGACAGGAACTGAAATAGAATGCCTATAATGCCCTTAGGGGGAAGGGGGATTGTCACTGTTGAGCCTTTTAGTCAATGACTTAATTCCCTGTCAACTTCCCTCCACTCTAGTTTAGCACTCTGAATGCAACCCCAAAGAGCTGCTAATTTGCCTAATGAATCCACAATACTGCAAGTGGCTATGGCTTTCTAATTTTCTTCCAAGGATTTCAGGTGCTAAATGATACCACATTTGCTCTGGTATAGTTAATTTAATACTCTAATCAACAACCTCAAGCACGTTTCACAAGGGTTGGACTCTAGGAGATAGGACTGAGGTGCAAAACACACGGTGTTTCCAGAAAGCACCATTTTTGAAGTCAGTGAGGCACTGAATCTGAAGACCAGATGGTACAGGCTTAGGCACCCATTGTCAGGTGGCTGGGAACAGCACATGGGACCCTCAACATCCTGCAGCCCAACCCCTAAAGCCCTCTCATCTGCGTAACGGCATCATGAGGTGGAAGCATTGTTCCACCCCAGAGATCCACAGCAAGGGGAAGAAATGTGCTTCCTAGGTAGCCGTTCCATAGATGTTTCCATTTCTGACCCATAACTCAGTGAACAGCCACACCATCCTTCTAATTCCTCAGACCAAAGCCTTGGAGTTATCCTTGTCTCCTTTCTTTCTCACTCAGCATCTGATGCATCAGCAAAATGCTGTTGGCTTTACTTCCAAAACATAAGGATGACCCAACTGCCTCTCACCAGCTCCACCACTTCCACATGGGTTCCCGCTACCACCACCTCGCCCCTGGCTCCCTGTACGAGCCTCTAACTAGATTCTCTACTTGGCCCTCACCCTTACTGTCCAGGCTTCGCTCCGAAGACAGGTAATCCACGAACAACTGCAGTCAGATTAGATCATTCTTCTGCTCTAAGCTCTGTGGCAGCTGCCTTCACCGGAGCCACACAGAATAAATAAACTCCAGGGTCCTCTGGTGGTCTCCTGGGCTGTACACGATCCCAGCCCCACCCCACCATATCTAAATTAAGTTCTCCCCACCTCACTCATTCTGAAATACCTACGCTAACCTTGATGACGCTCTTCCAACAGGACAGGAACATTCCCACCCTGGAGCCGTTACACCGTTAGTCCAGCTATCTGGAACACTGTTCTCTCAAAACACGCATGGCCGATCCTTCACATCCTTAAGGCTTATCCGAAGGGCCACATTCCCAGATGGCCCAGCCTGACCACTCTCTAAGACTGCAACTCCCAACTCCCAGCACTTTTAGCCCTTCTCTGCTTTGTTATCTGTACTGTGCTTATCCTACCTGACAAACCCTTTATTTACCCATTTACTTGTTGATCTGTCTCCCTCCACTAGAATGTATGCTCCACAAGTAGAGAATTCTTGTCTGCATTGTTCACTGCTCTATCTGCAGCACCTCCCATGGCACTGACCCACAGTAGGTGTTCAGTAAATATCTGAGCAATGAATGAATGGATATCTGGACTATGTGCTACATACTTTAGAACTCTAGACTTGGATATGTTTATTCCCAGACATTTCTCAATACCACAATAATGTCCTCAGAGTCTGAAGCAGGCTGTATTAAAGGACGAAACAGAGGGCCTTACAGAATTTCTGGAATCCTTGTGAATCAAATTCCATACCTCAGAGATAAAGTTATATGTCAGAGTTCTAATGTACAGACAGGCCCACGTCAGCAGACTGAGGGCTGCCCCTGGTGCTTTTCTGTGCATGGACCTAGATCTAGTTTAGCGGACCTGGGGCCTGGAGCATCGTGGGAAGACAGAGCATACTGGTCTCCACGTCTGTATCTGTCTCCACCTCCAACTGCACACTCATGTCCAACACTAAGATGTTGTTCTGTGAAAACAGATACTTCCTTAAACAGGGGTATCGCTGCAGGAGAGAAACTTTCCAATGGAAACTTGGGAAGTAAGAAGAATGTACTGTATGTCCAAAGACTCATTTTTTTATTTGAGATTGGTTTGGGGTTAGGGTAAAGTAGAAAAGGAAAGTTGTTAGAATATGTTTTTTTGAGGATTATATTTTTTACAAAGAAAACAAAGGCAAAATGGAAAAGAAATATCTGACCATCAGCATTTTGATCAGGAGTAACAGAACATTTTTACTGGAGTTTGTGTATGTTTGAGGGAAAGTAAGTAGAGAAGGAAAAAGCAAAATAACGCCTTTTTCAAATTCAAAACAAAGTTTTAAAAATAGATCTGTTGTCTCGGTTTCTTTCTCTATTGCATAATCCTGAATTGTCAGGTCACAGATCAATTTGGTGACAAGTAAAGAAAGATACCATCATGGAAACCAGTGTTTCTCACTGAAGTACATCAGAATCATCTAATTCTGTTCCAAATATTGGAAATCACCTTACAACATTTTCCAAAGAATTGATACAACAAAAGTATAAAGTTTTTAAGTATAAAAAAGTGAAAGTTGCTACATTTGCCTAGGCATTAGAATCTTTTCTTAAAGATAATGATTGTCATACTAATAAAGACAGAAGGAAATCACATGGTTGACTTTGGACTAGGAAATTTTAACAGACACAAATTCCTCAGTCATGTATCTAAATTTTCACTACCACTTTTCATTCCAATGACTCCTTAGGAGGAAGCACATTCAAGCGACTGGAGGGGCATGATTCCTGATTAAATAGTATTGTTTGCTCATTATTTCATGCCTGCATCTAGTATGACTCCAGGAAAACTGCACACCCCTTCAGAGCAGAAGTTGTATCTTACACTGCTCTTCCAACACCATTTGTAAGGTGACAGGCATAGAACCACACACATAGTAGTAGGTGCTCAGTAAATACCAGCTGCCTTCACGTTGCTACCAGTCATTATTAAAAACTATGACAAAGGTTTTGAAACTGTAAACAGGTGAAGAAGGATTGGCCTGTGTGAGTCAAAAGGCCCTGTGAAAACGCAAAGAACATAGAGGAAACTGAAAACGATGGAACAGACACATGTACATTTGTGTTACGTATCAGAGTGAACTGCATTTCAGGAGTTTCAAACAACACTCTTAAAAATTACATTAGTTTTGAAATAGTATTTTTGAGATGTGAATTCAGAGCTAAAATAAATTCTTACAGTTTTCATCCTGGGCCATGCATTGTAAGGGAATCCCAAAGAAAGATGTATAGCTGTCATTGTACCACACCAGAAGCTCGGTGCCCCTGGGAATATCTATACAGGCTCGGTAGAATATATTCGACCTATTCAAAACAAAAGAAAACCCAGCTTAGTAATAGGTAGGATCCACGTGCCCCCATCCATATTTTTATTGGCCCACCAAAGTTCTGGCCAGTTCCAGCTAAACAGTTTCTGTTTGTCATAAAATCTGCACCCACCTTATCATTCCCAGCAGCCAATAACAGCCTGTAACCCAGTATGATACACAGCTTATAGTTTATTTCCACAGTGTCCCTCTATAGAATGTCTGGGCTGAAAAGACAGATGTTTGGCCCAAGAGGCAGAAGAAAGGAAGAGTTCAAAAAAAACAAAACTTGCAGCTCACATTAATGAGAAAAATCTCTTCTCTTGGCGAATTGCAGGTGCTAGGACCTCAACCTTATATATCAATTAATACCATTGACTTCATAATTGAAAGAAAAGTATTACAAGTATTCTTATAACTTGGCCTTGGGAGTCCCCAAATTTGTAATAAAACTAAACCAGTCTGTGATAGAGAGATGGAGAGTAATAAAAATCTTCCCCGTTGACTTTCTTCTAAAGTTTGATACAGGAGAAGAGAAAAACCTTCTGATGTGAAATAGATGGAAATTCAATAAATACAAGAGAAGCACTTCACTCTAGCTGAAAGATTACACTCTGAAATGATAGAGTGAAGTTACCAAGAAACATACATTTTTTATAACAGCTTTGGTACTGTAAAGAAAAATCTACAGATTTAAAAATAAACACATACAAGGAGACTGCGAATGGTTTTCTCAATGAGAAATTGCTACCAATATTAGCCTCAAGTTCCAGATAAAAGTGTTTAGGGTTGGTGGGCCTTAAATTTAGCCTTTGTGTAAGAAATTGGCTGTAGCAGGGCAATTTGTTCCTTGTATAACATTGCAGACACAAGGCGAATCCTTCACCACATTTTTCATGGCAGTGAGATATGCACTTGTCAACATATTTTGTCACCACAAAGTGGCTCTTGGCAATAGGATCATAAAGATCAATAAAAAAAGTGCAGATTCTCAATATTTTACTTGCAGCTGCAAAAATTTCATTTATCTTGTTATTTTCCTTACTTGCTGCCATTCTGTCTCACGAGGGCACTGCTAGCTAAGCAGAATGTTTTTCCCAACATTCTATGAATATCTGACAAAAACTCCAGCCAGTTGTCCGGACCTCGCCACCCTTTCCTCCCTCCGCATCTCCGAGAGCTGTGCATTTTATTAATTCTTTCCACTGCTACATAAAAAAATCAGAATGAGAGCCGAGCTATAAATCACTGGCATCTCCTAACTTGAGAAAAATTGAGTCTACTTTGTACTTCACCCTTGTAACATTTCATCTCTCGGTTTGGCTTCCCTTAATGTAAACACAGCGCCCAGCAAATGAATGTGCTAAAACCAAATGACACACTTTGCTGCTGAAAGAGCAGAACTGTTTTCGAGCAATGGGTGGTCTTCTGAGGCACAGTGCAGGCTGAAAGGGGGGGAAAGAAACGTGTAAGCGTACACCGTTCCTTACAAGCAGGCAGAGCTTCCAAAACTCGCAGAAATCTCTGCATGTTGAAGCACATCAAAGGGATTTTTCCCTTTTCAGATAATATTTCCTCTGCTGACATGCATTTAGTATTGTGGTTGGACGACTCATAAAGATAGCTTCATGGCGTCCCAACGCAGTTGAAGCAGAACACATGCCAGCAAACATTACTGTCAGCCTCAAAATAAAAACAAAACGTTCAGCTGAGGGTCAATCAATCAAGGGCGCTTTGAAGAAAATTCCATTTAGATATTACAAATCATAACAGAATGAATCTAAACCAGCTGACTTTTTGTGAAGAGGACATTCATGTACAATAAAAATTAGGCTGGCTCTTCAGAGTCCAACTTTTCTATTTTCTTACTCTTGGACGTGGTCACTGGGGATGGATGCCAGTTTTTTAAATTGTGTTTTTGTAGTTCATTTTATAAAGATCTGAAGTAATCGAAAACAGATCAGCAGAGAGAACACGACGTTTAAGCGCCACCATGAAAGGAGAGCTATAAAATCCACTTAATATTGACAGATAGGTAATGACTTACTCATGCCCACCTTCCTTTTAGGGGTGTCTTGTTTCCCCCGAATTTGGAATTCGCCTCAAGAGCTCCCTGGGTGCTCATTACAGAACTAGTCTAACTATCTCTCTTGCTCAATGGACAAGCACAATCGTTACTAATTTTCTAGCTCCAAGTTTCATGAAGACTTCATGACAGAAATACAACTGCAATAAAGGTGAGTAAAGCCTGTACACAGCAGTGTAACTGAATACCGTTGTGCACAATTTCATTTAAACCATTATTTAATGAAATATAACTGCATACGAAATCAAGGCAGTGAGTCAATTTCATGATGCAGTATGTTCCTTTTGAAGTGGAGACCTGCAGAGAGCAAGCCAGATTTGTGCAGCCTTTAACCTGTAAGTAAGGGAAAATACAGCTGTGTGTGTGTGTGTGTGTGTGTGTGTGTGTGTGTGTGTTTAATGCTGTATTTTTAAAACTTCCCCCGCACCCCCCAAAAAAGGAAAGGAAAATAAATAGCTGTAGGCAGGACTCCAAGTTGCCAAGCACAGGGTCTTCTGCTTTGAAGTGTCTTTGGTGCCTAATAAAGCTCAATAGTTGCTTCTGATTCTAAAGGGAACATCGCTGTTTATAACTGAGGTCATATATTTATATGGCACATGTTTTCGAGGGATTTTGAGAAAAGGCTTTTCCTTATGTGATCTGATGTCACCCTCTCTTCTCCACTCCAGCCTTCTCTAACACTAAGTGTAACTGCTTGGCCAGCAGGTGCACAGAGCAGATGCGGCTCAGCACTTGGCAATCACCTTGCTTCTCGGACGCCACCCCCCACCCCCCACCCCAACCCTCCCCAGGGCTTCTCTGGAAAATGGGGTAGGGCCACCTTCTCCTTGTTACTCATAGGTTTTTCCCAAACATCCCAGGAAACTGGGGACTTCCCTGTGCTCTGGACCCACCTCAGCACCTGAAACATATTCTGAATCATTAAAGGGCCAAAGTCAGATGCTCATCACCTTTCAAGGGATCAGGAGAGGTTACTCAGGCTCGGCCATTGCTGCTGAGCATAATGGTTGTGGAACAGCAGCCCTGGGAAGGTTGAGAGGTCCTGGTTTCCCATGCCTTTGTGCAAATAAAACTGCTCCCTGTGGGACACAGCTTGAAAGTGACCGAAAGCAAGGGAGCTGGGGCTGCATCTTGGAGTTCCCGTTTAAGTGTGTGTGCACAACTGCTGGGGCAAATCACCCCACATCTGTGGGCTTGCTGGGCTGCTACAGGCCTTTGTGGAAGTTCAGGCAATGACGTGGAAGTAACTTCACCATGTGCACTGAGTGAAAAGAGCCTCCTACTATCATCTTTACTCCTGAATTCTCAGGAAATGGCTGTTGCAAGAACTAAGGAGATTTCAGAAGCCTAGCAAAAAAAAAAAAATATGCCAGTCTTTGCAGAGTTCCTAGGACCCTGCAGAACTAGCAGCAAGCCTGAATTTGTATATACAAGCCAGAGGCCTCCAGCTCCATAAGTGGTAAATCAAGATATACTTTACCTGTACTGAACTACTGTTAGATTCTGTTCTCCGCAGTGCCTTGCACATCGGATATACCTCATCCAGCTCGACTTACTAGGTTCCCCACCATCAATAAAGTGCTGTAGTGTCCCATCTTGGTCATATATCTAGAGAAGAGGTCAGAAGGTCAAGTAGTTAGAACGAATCATCAGCAATCATTTTCCCTGCTTCCCTTGGTGTCTTGTGTGTCGGCTGCAGAAATTTATTGCCCATACCTTTGCTAGTGGTTAGTGAAACTTGTGGAAACTCAACTGGAATAACAGGAAAATATATTTTGGTGATGCAAGTCGAGCACATTTTCCTTATCAAGCCAATCTTCCCTGTATTAAACATATTTCTGGTATCTGAAGGATGTGAGTGCCCATGTTTTCCAAAGAATATTTAACCTATTTTGACAGGCTACTCTTAAGTAATGAGCTGCTGGATAAACAAAGCAAGCTGAAAGGAGAGGCCACATGGACATGGCTGGAACAGTCACACAAAAGGCCCCCGGCCCCCCAACACATAGCTGTTCGAAGGCATTCTGGAGGCAGTAACCATCTGTTCTACAAGCTGGGTGACCCCTTGCAGAAGGCAGAGAGTTATGGAGCTCTACAGAACTGATAAAACAGACTCTGATTGGAAGAAATAAATGGACTCTCACCTCGCAGAAGATGGAGGACTTCAGCTGTCAGGACCTGAAACTATTAGGAGAGGAGTCATCAAAAAAGAGAGACCCTCGAAAAGGGAAAGAAAAAAAGAATAACTGTTTCCTATGGATTTTAAATATCTTCACTGAGGTCAGTTTAGTAATTACTGCCTTAGGTCATCTCAAGCAGATTTCCTTTCAAGATTACTTTCAAGGAAATGAAATCTGCTTCAAACCAGGCAATAAGCATGGCACAAAAAGTCTTATGCAAAGCAACGAGCCAGCCCAGCACGCATGTGCGGAGGAAGCCCTGCCAGGAGAGGCAATCGGCTCCCACTTCTAGGAACCAGGGTGGCCCCGGGCCCCTCGGAGGATGTGGTAACAGAGGAGTGGGAGGTCAGGGGGTACATAGGCACAGCAATGCTAGGACATCCCCAGTCTTAGGGGCATCGAGGAAGCAACAGCTACAGTTCTCAGAGGACCATGGTATCGACGAGACCTTTTAAAACCCGATAGCCTCTGAGATGCTCCCCTGAGCATACTGAGAAATCAAGTCTCTTTCTCCTGCTAAACAGTCTTTCCACTTTTCCTTTCCAAATAGATGCAGAGAATAAGCCTCACTGGTTACATTTACATCCTACAATTAGTTGGTCATTCATATTAATTTAGTTCAGTATTTCTATTCTGAGGGCCAAAGGCCTTAGTGATGACAGTTTCTTTTATTATCACCAGTCATTCTAAAACAGCTGATTTTTTTCTTTGCTTTTCTTCAAGTCATTTATCTCCACCCCCAACCTTGCCAGTAACCTGCACAGATAAAAGACATCAATCTAATAAAGACAATTGTTTCCCAGTTAAGACTGGGTAGGGTGCCAGAGTGATCACAGCTGATAATCAACATAGCCTTAGAAGAATGAATAGATTCCTGGATTATATTATATTATTATTAAGATGAATGACTCCTTTAAATTCCTTGTTTGGGGATGATGGCAGAGAATGGAAACATCTCATGTGGGGGCTACAACTGCTAGGTGATCTCTCTAAGGACAGGCTTCATATTCAGGTTAGCTTACACTGTAGTTATTTTGTTCTTGTTCTTATTTTTGTTTAAGGAAGCTGGTTCAAAGATTCAAAATTTCAGTACTGAGCCTGCTGTTGACAGCTGATGCGACATTGAGCGAAGCCATCAGTTCCTTAAACGCCACTGTTTATCTAGAACAGAGCCAAAAATGTTGATGACCGAGGCCTCTGCCCCATCCTTTCCCCTTGAACAAACCTCCTGGGGGTGCTGCTGGTGAAAACAATTATGAAGCGCTTTGAGAAGTACGATTTTCCTCTGTGCTTCTAGCCAGTGTTCTCAACAGCAGGTAAAACTCTAATATTTACATGTAGTCATGCTCCCTTGAACCATTTTGAACCATTTGAACATCAGACACAAACAGTCTTGAGAAGGAGTATAAGAAGTGTTTCCTCCTACAATCTTGTTTCAGCCATAATCTCCTTCAACTAAGTATACTGGCACTACAGGCATCCTACACTTCCTGCCTGTTGGATGGAACTGACACTTGCCTACTTAAGGAAAAGTACTTGGCTACTGGTCAGGCTTTTCCCAAACACCACACAGTGCAGCACACAGCATAAGGCTGAGCCTCACTGGCTTCAGCTAATACTGATCCTACACTACTTCACATGAAACTGTGGTGAAAATCCTGTGCAGCTAGTTGGCTCCCTTTGCTGTGCACCCACTTGGAGTTGAGGAAACTCATTCCACCATCATACTTTCTCGCCCTCCCTCCTCGGAGCCCAGTGGTCACCAAAGCCAGTTGATGGTGCCCCCAAATACCTCCCAAGCCCATCCATCTCACCGGAGCCCAAGTCAGCCGCCGTTCTCTCCTGAAGCCCTGCAGGTCTCTGAACCGCTCTCACTGCAGCTTCCCCAGACCCCTCGGGCCTGTTCTCTTCACTGGAGCCAGAGCGCTCTTTCAAGACACAATCTACTTTTATCTGTTTCACCCGACTCCCTTACCCCAGAGAAAAGCTTCAGAAATGTCATAAAATGTCAAGTCATAACAACACATATCCACAGCACGTGGGGTGTCCTCATTAGCTCATCATGCTAACCTGGCCAGCGCCTCCTATCAAAGTTATTTAGGGAGGTCAAAAACGCCTCTGCATTTGGCTCAAGACAATCCTGGGCCCTTTGTTGTCTGTGCTGTTAAGAGTTAACATTTAAACTCCATGTTTTTTGAAAGAGAAACAATGGGCCTGAAGGCACTAATGCCTATTTCTGCTCATTTCTCTAGCAGAAGGAGAATAAAATTGGGAAAACTGGGATACCCAAACGGGAAAGCTAAATAGGAACTAGAGACTTCTCAGAAAGTTCTTGGTACTGATTTGCCCCATTATTACTCTCGAGTAAAGCTCAACTTTGTTTCCATTTAAGGGCTCAGTTTTTAAAAAAGAGAGGTGGGCAAAATTCTTCATGTAACTGAACTATATGTGGACACTGTGCCTGCATCCATCTACTGCACTGTCAGGGGCTGCCGCCTTCCTCCTAGGAGAGAAGGGACTAAAGGTGGGGAAATGTTTCAACAGGTTTCCCTGCAGAGCAGAAACAACAATCCAAGTTCAGGAAGTTGTTCTTGAAGGTTGCATTAACATCTACATTGGTGTAACGCTAAAATGCAATTTTAAGTTAGTTACCTAATAGGTATAAAAAATTTAAGGCATTTAAGGAGATGAATTAATGTCAAGACCAAGAGTTATTTTGTTTTCATTACCTTTCAGAAGATTTTTAAAAAGCAAAGAAGCATCAAAAATCTTGTACAAAGTATTTAGACATTCCCCCTCAGGACCTATGAAAATGTCAACAAGATCAGAAATTTTATTAATTCAAATAGTGAGAAAGAAGACAAGAGAGTTAGTTCATATTAAGGGGAAGATATACTCTAAAAGAACACTTGTAGTTTTGTTGAAAACAGCATGCTTTCTTCTGAATGACCAAGAACCACCAAAGTTTTAATAGCTGCTCTGTTCTTTCTAAGGACGCTAAGCAAATGATCCTTCAGAGATAGGGAAATAGATGTAAAGAAACACACAGGGCACTGGGTGGGAAAAGGGTTAAATACTGCCCTGGCAAACCCTCAGAAGTACAGAAAATATGTTTAGCATATTTGTTTTAGAAACCTAATTCCAACATTGCTGAAAGGGAGCATACAATGGCATGTTCACGTTGGAGAACATTTTGGCAATATCAAAATTAAGTTGACCATGCACATATCCTACGACTCAGTAGTTTTACTGCTAGGAAATTACTCCAGTGAAACTGTGACGTGTGCCCAAAGAGGGAGTTCACTGTAGCACTGCTTAAAATAAGTAATCAATAAGACACAATGGAAATATTCAGCATCAGAAGAATGAATGAACTGTGGTTTATTCAGTAACACAGCATGAAACACTTAAAGTGAATGAACTAGATCTGTTTGTATTAACATCCAGTTGATAAAGATAAATATCAAAACATAATGTTGATTGAGACAACCAGGTTACAGATTGATGCATTTGTTAACATTTTCAAAATATGTTAAAATAACATTTCAAAATACGTAACACTCTTATTAGTATATTTGATAAGTGTATAGTGTAATATACATATAACTATCTTTATAGCTATCCATATAATAAAATTCAGAAAAGATATACCTCATCAGAGCACTGGTCATGGAAGGGAAACAAAGGGGACGAACACGTTACCTGAAATGTTTCATTTTTCTTAAAAAAAAAAATCTGAAGCAGATACAGCAAAGTGTTAACACTTACACTTTCAGTGGCCTGTATATTGGCATTTTTTAATGTGTAAATTATACTCTCTGCTTTTCTAATCTTTTTCAAAAAATTCAAAGAGAAAAATAAATGAAAAGACAACCTAATCATTTATTTCTTTGTAGTTCAGTTTTTCTGTGTCATTAAAATTCTTGCTCATTATAAACCATGCGTGGCATTAACTGCAAATCACATGCAAAAGGCATTTTATTGTAATCCAATCCCTGATATCAGAAAGCACCACTTTGTCCCACAATCTTACTTTTCTAGAACAAGAATCTACTTTAAATGAGAACAGCATGAGTAAAACATACATCAGTATGTCTGATAAATACTGGTTGTGAGGGGCTTGTCCACAGCTTGCTCATTTATAAATGCTGCCGATTTGCATTAACAGTAATAATAATCATAGAAACAAAGTAAGCCATGATGCGGACCCATTTTAAAAGAATAGCAAGAAATCCATCTTCTGAATTACAGGCATGTGTGTACATTAGTGCCTCTGTGCAATCTGGTCTCTAAAGCAAGATATGCCAATCAGTGGCTCTCAGGCTGAATTCAGGCAATTGACCAACTTTGTTTTTCCTCCCACAGTGTTTAAAAAATTTAGAAATTCTACCTAATTCCTAATTTTTCTTGAAAAATTAAAAAAAAAAA